GACTACTGCACACACTCCACTTGAAAGCTTACTTCAGTCCAGATGGAGAAACATAAATGCAAGCCTCAGAGTAGCCTCCTCTGGCTGTTTCTGGGTTAGAGTTATTAAATTATGACTTAGGGTCTCAACTTAATGAACTGTTTCGATATAGTTAAAAGGTTATTTTGTAATGGCATAACTTCACATCCCAAAACATTCCTCTCTTGCCAATAAATAGAAACTGCTATGCCACTGCAAGCAGTGACAGGAGATTATCAATTTGACTTGCTTTGCTCTTTCCCTTAGTGGGGGGATACCACAAACCCTCGTGTGATATCCGCTCATTAAGTAAATAAACAAGAATACAAAGGGGTTTGATTGAGTTACCTGTAATTGGAAAGATGTGCCTCTATCCTTACGGCTCAGTGCTGCCTAGCTGCTTTAATTGCAGCCAGTGGAAAACTCCCTTTGATTTTAATAAGGACTAGCATGACACTGATGCTGTATAAATCTCATCCTGGATGTTGTAATATGTTGATTGCAAATCATCTAAGATCTGCAAATCCAGTATGAGAGACTCTGCACTACATAAGGCAGCCCTTCATTACACATGTTTACAATATCAAATACAAAGTATCAGTATTATATTTTCAGTCCAGGAGTTTCAGTTAACTTAAGTTATATGACACAAAATCATTATTTAGAAATCACACAGCAATTTGACACGGATAGGAGGGGGCCCAGTGTCCGCCTAATGATCTCAAACAGCATGAACAAGAGCAGATGAATAGGAATCATTAGCTTATTATTCACACAGCATTTCTCAAAGCACCAAGGAACTCTACCAAGTAAATGAAGACAGCAAACTATAACACAAAGAAAGGGAAAATAATGGGTTTTAAAAAGAAATTTAAATTATTCACAGAAATCTCAATCCTGCTTCTTGCAGAGAACACAAATTACTACTGTTTTACATGCACATAGCACACACTTTCCTGTCCAGAAAAACTAAACATGGCTCCCTCAAACTCTGCCATCTTCCTCAGTTAATATCTTATTCCATAATACCTCAGTATATCTTAAAAATTATAGGCACACTGAATTGCATTGCTGTGCAGGAATTCAGCCTTCAAAAGAGAAATCTAGCTTGTACACCGACCTTAGTATTCAGAATGAAGAAACATTCAGAAGAAGTGAGCCATGTCAATAATTTTAATTAAAAATGTCAAAAAAAAAATCTTTTTGCATAGCACATCCCCCACCAATGAAAGAGGGACATCTGAAATCAAAAAGAGGCACAACATTATCTCCCTGTTTTGGACTACAGCTTACAGGTTTATAACACAGAATTGCAAGAAAAATGTTACCAGCTGAATACAGGAGCCGTGGAATCCTGGTACAAAACTGAGGAAAAAAGCCAGTCTGTGCACCAGGCTGGCAGAGACTGTCACAGCACAGAGAAATGCTATTGCCCCAACACGCAGCACAGAGACATCCAACCTCAGCTGTCCATTCTTAGCTTTTTGCTACCCAACCCTCCACATGCAAAAAACACAGGATGTACTTGGGTCACTTGCCCCGAAACAGCTGCAATGACACCTCCCAACCAGGTCATGTAGGTGTCTTATCCTTGAGTGCTTTGTGGCAGGGGAGGTGAATTCATAACTCCTGTGTCGGGGGAACAATGGGAAAAAGAAAGTCTGATAAGCAATTCAGCAGCTACAGAAGGATGTCCCCCCTGCCAGAAAGAGGAGATATCCAGCAGTGCCTCCCACAGCAGGTACCTGGCCCTGAGGTGCAAGCCAGAATCTGAGCAAGAAGAGAAAGAAACAAGCAAAGCTATGAAAGCTGCCCTCACCTCAACTAGTTTGCCTCCTAGCTAGGGCTCAGCTAGAAATTGATTTTTTTGGTTGAGTAACTGGACTGGAAACCTCTGAAAATGTTGGTTTGTGCAAGCATGTGTAGAAAGATGCTGATCCTAAAAAACCTATTAGTTTTGCACTAAAAATATTTCTCCTCAACAGTTAATGGAAAAAGTATGAAAATACTGTGCTTCATCCCAAACTTGATTTGTTTACTTTTTAAATTTAAAACTAAATAAATGAAAATTTAAGCTGAAATAAAAATATTTTTAAATGCAATGGTACAATCTTTTACTCTGAAAACATTCAAACTGTGTGGGGATTGTTTCCATTTACATTTCTGTTTTGGCGGTCAAGAAACACCATGTTTTTCAAAAATCAAACTACCTAAAATGACTCATTTGGTTGTTTTAGTTTACTTAATGCAGTACAAAAAGTACAACAGGCAGGTTGTGGGAGACCTCCCAAAGAGCCTGCAAGCTAAAGGACATGGTCAGAAACCCTCCAGGCTCCCTCATGTTGTGCCATACAGCTGCCAATACCAAACCCAGAGTCCCTTCAGTGATGCTGATTGTAATAATGGAATCAGTAATGCAGCAATAGCAGTGGCAAGAGAGATGAAGCCCAGCCAATACAGGGATGAATTTTCATTTTGAGTAAAGCTTGGAGCATCTAAATAAAGCTAAGCATGTGCTTTGTGTTTGCAATCTTAACACAACTGCCATTCTGATTTCTCATAAATAGTCCAAGTGCTTTCTTTCTCAGAAATGTATCAAAGGCTGTAAAATGAGGTGCTAGAACACTTAACTGCCAGTGCCCAGCAAACAGTATCATTACAGTGTATATAAAAGTCTCCTGGGGGATAGGCTGGACATAAAAATTCAGCTGGATCATTAGGAGACGATGATTTAACTGAGAAAGCACTATAAGTCTCCGAGTTGGCAACAGAAAGACATAAAATGAGTTGGAGGACTTATTTAATGACTAGTAGACCAATAAGGGAGGTATTTCATTGCACGGTAAGATATCCTGCATCATAAGAAAACTGCAATTTATCAAATATGAGTTGTTAGGGTCTTTCTAACCTGCAGCTAATTCCTGTTACATCAGTGACACTGATGCCCTAAAAATCCTAACATGAACAAGCATGAACAAGAGTCAGAGGAGGCCAAAACCTCTGAGTATTGAGCCTCCCTGGTATCAGACACAACAGAAGACTTTGGGGCCTATATATGTTGTGCATAATTTTGCACATGTAGGAAGCAACCTCTTTGCACTCTATACAGCCTGAGGATACAGTCTCAGGTGCCAAAGGCTGCATTCAAGTCCCCCAAGTCATTGGGATGAAGTATTTTGCCTTGACTCATACAGATCGGAGTCCAGTATCTCACTCATCTTCATCCCTGACATCTGCTCCAATTTTCTGCCAAAGCTGTAGTGCATACACAACTTAGCAAGCTAGGCCCTGGGTTGCTGTGGTGCACATGTGCAGTTTGTGCTGTCACACCTCTTCCCCTGGGCTCCAGGAGACAGGAAGTCCTTGTACTCTTCTTCCTCAGCTTCCCCACCCCAATGCACAGAGAAAAGTGTCTCTGCTGCAGAGCACTGATGGGAAATGTAAAGGACATACAAGTTATACCTAGTGCATCATGTTTAGCATGTTTAATTAAGACAAGATAATAAGAGATATTTTCCTTTTTCTTAGACAGCTGCAGCAAATATATGCTCAATTGGTTCCCACTGGCCATCAAGGTCAGTGTAAGCCCAAATGTCACTACAAGCCTTTGAGAATGCCACCCAAAATCAAATAAGTACACATAAAAAAAAAAAACAACAACCAAACGAAACCAAACAATCAACCAAAAAAAAAATCCCAAAAAATCCCCACCGAACAAACCAACTTTTTTTTTTCCTACCTACCTATGTACCTTAGATTGAAAGGAGATGGGAGCATTTTTAGATCCTGTTCTTTTTCTCTCAGGGCCAGAGGAGCAAAGCAAAGAACACAAACCTAGTGTCAGGAATTCCTGGGTGGTAAGATAGCGAGGAACTCCCTTGCTGCTCACACCACAGAATGAAAGAAGTATGTCGCAAGAAATGCAAGTGTGTTTGGCCGTGAGAGCCATATAGCCCAATTTGGCTACAAAAGAATCACTCTGGAGCCCTTGGTTTTGGAGCTCCACGGTGATTTCTTATTGTCTGCGATGATGACAGACTTCTCCATGGCCCTTCTGGAGCCAGGTCATTCTCTACATGTATCTTCATGACTCGCAGCGATGGGAGGCATATCGAGATAGTTAAATATCATCTAGCAGTGAGTGGGAAGTCTTAAAAATGGCCAGCTTTAGTGCACTGACTCCTGCTGAAGTCACTTCAAATTTCAAAAGCAACTTTTCAGTGAGATGAGTAAATGCAAAATGGGAAAATAGTATTCAGGAAGGAAACCTCAGACACAAGATTGTCAGACTTCAGTGAAGCAGAATAGAGTCACTTCTGAGCTATAATTTTTTTTTTCCCCTGTCCTCATCAGGAAGGATTCTTGGAAGAGAATAAAATGTTCCTAAAAACCTTAATGGGAAAAAAACAAACAATTCTCTTTGCAAAGCATGTTTGGTTCATACTCTTTCAACCATGCAAACATTTAATGAGTTCTGTGAAATCTTCATTCCTGTCATTTCAAGGCTAGCAGATGTAGTCTTGGTAACTGAACCATGATTTAGATTCCCAGAAATCTGTGTCGAAATGGGAATCATATGAGCACTAGAGACACCAATAATGTGCATAAGCATACAAAGTACAAAATTATCAAAATACTACCAGAAATAAGCATGTGACAAATATAGATCTTGGAAGATTAGATAGGAGCATCTCTATTGTTCATGAGAGCTATGGCACTGACAAGTCTGATTGGAAAGGCTCATTTTCCACATGGCACTTTACACTAAATGTACATGTTTTGCTATTTGGTCAGTACTTGCTCCTCCTGGAAATAAACATTTTGATTTGGGAGCTTAAAACTTCATTAATTGCTGTATAGTTTCAATTTTCTGCAGAGGACTGAGATTCTACTTGCTGCCATTCGAAACACAAATAAGCTAAAGTGAGAAAAAAATACGGGCGTTTGATTTTTCAACAGTGAAGGTCCTGCTATGTGCCTACCTGGCAAAAAATGTCCTTCTGGGTTGGACTTCCAGAATGCTTACAGCTTCAAGGGTAGACACACTATTGTCTAACATTGATTCATAGGTGCAGTCTACCAGGGAACTTTCCTGTTTATTGCAATGGAAATTGTTATTAATCAAAATATGTCAGGTTAAAATAAAGTATTTAAAATATTTCTTTTAAATATGTTTAAATAGGAGGACAGGGGAAAAAAGCAGTACATGAAAAAAATTCTGTGAAAAATTTAGAGATTAAGACTCGTGTTCATTCAGAGCATTCTAAACTGTAAACATTGTTTTAGAACAAAAAAAAGTTTAAATTCATTGTTAGGATTTTGTTCACTGAAGTTTAAATGTCTTATATTTGACAGAAATTACTTATTAATATTTAGAATTACCACTCATTTTCTTCCTTAAAAATCTCAAAAAGAAAATACAATCTTTTAAAATAAACATTAGGTTTTTCAGAGGTATACAATGACTCCATATTCTGCTGGAAAACATATCTAAGAAATAAAATGCACCTGTCGTTTTACCCAGTGTTATTTGATCTATATTCAGAAAATTAAAATGGCACTGGTGCCTCAGAAAGGCATGTATTACTATTATCATGCATTAAGATTGAGTTAGTATCCCAAAACTCCCAGTCAGGACCAGACCATAGTGTAGCAGATTGTGTTAAAACACAGAATTGTACATAATTCGAGTACGGATTTTATGATGATTTAATGCTACTTTTTTTCCTGCACTGCAATGTCCAAAGGTTTCTTAGGTTTGTATAACCAAGGGAAAAAAGTAAATTAACTCAGTACCTAACTGTAGTAAATGTATCTCCACTCAGCAGTTGTTTCCTGTGTACCTGGGCTACTACATTATACTATAATTTTTTCCTAAAACAACATCAAATGGGACTTGCAGTCTTTTTCTGAAGAATCTAAAGAAAATGAGTTCTGGCTTTGGTTAGGATAGACTTAATTTCTTCACAGTAGCTGGTATGGGGCCATGTTCAGGATTTGTGCTGGAAACAGTGTTGATAATTCAGGAGTATTTCGGTCACTGCTGAGCAGGGCTTACACAGCATCAAGGTCTTTTCTACTTCTCATCCCACCCCACCAGCGAGGCTGCCAGGGGTGCACAAGTAGTTGTGAGGGGTCACAGCCAGGACAGCTGACCCCACCTGACCCAAGGGATATTTCACACTGTATGGAGTCTGCTCAGCACAAACTGACAAAAGAAAGAAGGTACATTTGGAGTGATGGAGTTTGTTTGTCTTCCCAAGTAACTGTTACATATCATGGAGCCCTGCTTTCCTGGAGATGGCTGAACACCTACCTGCCCATGGGAAGCAGTGAATGAATTCCTTGCTTTGTGTGTGCTTTACCTATTTAACCATCTTTATCTCAACCCACAAGTTTTCTCACTTATACTCTTCTCATTTTCTCCTTCATCCCACTGGAGCGGGGAGTAGTAAACAAGCAGCAGTGTGGGGTTTGGTTGCCAGCTGGGCTTAAACCACAACAAAATAATATGAAATCTCACAACTAAAGGACACTTTAGTTGTTATTTATTAAGGTGGTACTTCAGGATCTTGAGCAGCAGTGAAAACAGCTAATGAATTAGTTCTTCCTTGCCATAGTCTGCCTCTGTTCTTAAAATCTGACATTATAATCAATTAGTGAATGCGTTTGAATGAAAGGAAAAGCACTTTCCCTTCTCTGCCTGCTGGATGCAGCTAGCAAGTACCTGGATGTTCCAGATCTTGAAAGATTTTTTTACTTTATAATAAAGGCAATGATTAAATTTGGACTGGATTTTCACAAAGATGCATCTACAGATAGATTGAGAGGTACCTTGTATAAAACTATTCCAGTTACTCCAAACAGCGGAAATTGCTGTCTTGTCAGGCTGTCCATCACCCCTCTGGTATAAAGTGCCTGGTGTAATCCCTCTCTGGCTGATGTAAGATGAGTTAGTCTGAGGACAGGAAAGGTTATGCTGCCTTCTTGCTGATCTATGCTATATTATTTAGTATACTGTATGGGAAACTTTCAATTAGCTTTCACCATTCTTCTTTGGTGTTTTTCAGAGTTTCCTAACAAATCTTCTTTCCTGTCTCTGTTTGCCCTAGACTTTTCTCTTTTCTTCTTTTTTTCTTTTTTTTTTCTTCATTTTGTTGGGTGAGGAGAGGGTGGTGTGTGTATGAAGACTGGTATTCTCATTTTCTTTTTCTTTAGAAAAACTGAGGAGAAAGAACAAAACATTATTAGTGTAGTCAATTCCTTCAGTGTAGCTATTACAGTCATCAAATATTTGCAGTTCTGATAACAAATTCACTGTTTTTCTGCAACGAAAGATCAGGTCTTACTGGAGTGAGATTGTTGTTCCTGCTGTTACAATATTGATGCAGTGTGATTTTTATTTAGTGATTTTTATTAAAAAGGAGGAAAAATGGGCTTGGAGCTTTCTAAGTGACCAGGCTGAAAGGAGCACCTGCAAAAATATTTTTTATTGTAATAGTTATCTAGAGATCCCAGTACTAATAAGGGTGTCACTATGGCAGAGCTTTGCTTACACAATGAGAGTATGCTCCAGTTCTAAAAAGCCAACAGGCCAAAGAGAGGAACACAGAAAGGGGCAGAACAGGCAGTAGAGATGCATGTGCTGGTGCCACAGAGCCCCAGTGCCATGGGCCAGGAACTGGTGCACATTGCTGCTCTACAAATAATGACAACTGTTTTTAAAGCTCCTTCTATGAGCTGGCAGCCTGTCTCCTGCTTGCAAGATGACATGAGGTATTAACTCACTGAAAAGCAATACCTCTGGCAGCACATAAAATGCAAATAATGAGCTCAAGCAGGAGGAAATTCAAGTAGCTTTATCCTCCCCCCCAATGCTGTCCTAGAGGAAGGAGAGGCCTCAAACATCAGCAAACAGCCTTCAGGGTGAGAGAGTGGCCAATGCTCTGCACTTCCCCACAAGCACAGGGATTTCCCAAAGTTTCTGCAGCACACAGAACACTATGCCTTTGACACAAGGAACTGAGGGACAATCCTTGGATCTGGTTTTCCCAGTGGATTTCTCGACCTATCAGAAAACTTTGGTGATCCTTTGGCCTTTTAACAGAGACAGCATAAAGCAGCCAGAACAAGGACAAGAGATCCAGGCGGTTATGGCAAGTGGGAGAGCTGAAGGCATAGTTTTATAGTGTCCACATCTTACAGTGGTAGAGGGCCAATTCCACCCACGCTAGACCAAAAGCCACTGAACCATCAGTCTGACTCAGTAGCAGTGTTGCTTACCTATGCTATGAAACATGCAAGTTCACAGCATGTGAACTTGAAATGGCAGCACAGGCATCTTTCAATTCTTGATCTGTGAAACTTCTCTTACAGGTTTAGAGTTTTTCCAGGGTAATTTTAATCCAGCATAATCACTTTGCAGCTGAGAAAACAAACAAACCAACAAAAAACCCCACTCAAACACCCAATATATCTACAAAACCAAAACTTAATCTCCCTGTGTACTGTGACTACTCTTGTCGTGATGTCTGCCTTGCCCTAGTAATGACAGAGATCTCTGACCAAATCCAACAGGGTACTTACTATCCCCAACTACCCACCATCTTCCTTTATCAAATTACTTTACTCACAGTCCAGATACTCCTCTCCATACTTGCAGAAATCATAATCCCTTTGCCCTGCTGGAATTTAAACATGCAATGCTGGCAGAAGTAAGAGAAACAAATAACAAGCTGTGTGACAGAAAGCATCCTAACCGCAACTGATGTGTAAAGAGACCATCTCATGTCTTCCCATTCATATTTCCCACAAGTTTCTCACGCCTGTCAATCTTGTTTTGATTAAAACAGCTTCCAGAACAGTCCCCACTGCATTTGTAAATGAATCCTTGAAACACACAAGTACCTCACTGATGCCAGGAGTCCAGTTAAGTCCATTTCTTCTCTGTGGAATTCTGTGTAAGCTCTGAAACAACCAGCCATGGCAACTCAAACAAAAAACACAAGACAACTCTTTCAAGCTGTTTTGGGACTAAACAAAGGATCAGATAAATAATTAAGTTTTAGAGAGTTAATGGAAAAACAGTATAGGAGGTGCCAAATCAGGGAAGATTAACTGGGTTATGTCCAGACTACACAGCTGATTGCTGGGCAGAAATGAATTGTGCTCACATGTGCTGGGAACATTCCTCTTGTCCTCACTTCTGCAACCAGACATATACAACTCTTAAAATATTTCTGCAGGTTTCTACAGAGTTAAATCTACAGGTCTGAGTACAAGGTGAGTGATAGAAAGAAAATTTAATAATCCAACTTCATGAAATTCTGTTCTGAAGTAGATCATGAAAGTAGAAACAGTGAGGGTATGGTCCTTGAGAGGATAGAGCTGATCACAACACATTGGAAGCAGGAGACTTGGGACCTCACTGGAATTTCATCAAAGAAAGGACTTTGGCACCATGAAGAAGGACTCAGTACAATTACATAATTCTGCAAATTAGATTAAAATAAAATTAACTACTTGACTGGGGCCTAGTCCAGGAGGTCCCTCAGTTCAGTCACTGCTATACCCTTCTGCCCAAAAGCTTTCTCTGACAGCTGAAGCTGTGCTGTTGAAGACTCCCAGGGTAGTCCCAGACAGCACCAGGGAGGTACAGATTATGTTTACCATCCCGAGGTACCCTGCTCCTGCACCAGAAAGTCATATAAATAACAAAAAACTGTGTCACTGAGTTATTTCTTTTCAGGCAACCCAGGAACCTTGCTCACGGTTCTCAAATCCATTCCAAATGTCAGGCAAATTTTTAAGACACTTAAAATTGAACTGCTATTGAACATCTCTCCCGATGCATGCTTTGGACTGAGCTTGAAATAAAAGCTAAAACTTGTCCCAGATGTGAGCACAGATATTTGTATACTCAGACTGGAAGCTGTGAAATCTCACGATAACTTGAACAACGTCCCATTCTAATGACTTCTACCTTTCTACTATCTTTGGTACCAGGCATTTCATAAACACATTAGAAAGTAGAGCCACATGCAGCTTCCAAACTATAGAGGAGAGAAAGCATTGGAGGAAAACACATCCT